GACGTCTATATCCTATCGCACGTGTCTATCTTTCTTGTACCTTTTATTGCTTAGCTTGACAACGGAAGTTACGCAATCATGCAGGTTACCTATTACGTGTTAATCAGTTACATGGCTCCCCTAAATTGAGACAATTTACTTAATCAACAATAAAAAGAACAACAACAAAACAATCAGTAATCAGGTAAAATGTTCCAAAGTCAATGTTCAATCATTGTCTCTAACGACACGACACTGCTCATCAGCAATTCTCATCTGATTTCATGGCTCCTCGGCTGGCTCCTCGGCTGGGAATCCCCGGTCCTTCTGCTCCTTGCGTGACATAAGTAGAATCAACCCGTGGATTGGTCTTTCAAAATGGGATACCCTGGACCTTTGGGATTGATCTGCTGCTGCCACCTTTACCTTTCGTACGTAACCGTCTGCATCCGGGTAAGTAACCTCTACACGGGCAAGCTTCCAGGAATTTCTGGGAACACTTTCATCTTTTAGGATCACGATATCTCCTTCTTCGAGGTTCTTCTGAGGTGTGGTCCATTTCTGTCTGGTCTGAAGAGTTTGCAGATAGCTCTTTCTCCAACGCTGCCAGAATTCGTTAGCAAGTTGTTGTACCCGACGCCAACGTTTCCTTGAGTACACATCGGCTCCTTGGAAATTTCCGGGCGGTGCAAGGATAACTGAGCTCTTCATCGTTAGAAGATGATTTGGTGTTAGGACATCAAGTGAATCTGGATCTGACAGATCATCTGTGGTAAGGGGACGGCTGTTGACAATAGCCTCTGCTTCAATCATGAGGGTCCTCAGGGATTCGTCGTCCAATTGACTTCCATGGCTTTGCAGTAGTCCAGTTAATACGCTTCGTACTGTCCTAATTTGTCTTTCCCACACGCCACCCATATGACTAGCGTGTGGAACATTCATCTTCCATGCGAACCAATCGCAATTATCCTTTAATAGCTCTCTTTGGATCTTCTCATGATTCATCTCATTGAGGGCTGCTTGCATTTCATTCTTTGCGCCTACGAAATTGGTACCCTGGTCTGATCTTAGTTGCTGAATGGGTCCGCGACGACAAACGAAGCGACGGTAGGCGTTCAAGAATGAATCAGTTGTTAACAAAGTTGCTATCTCCAGATGGATGGCACGTGAGGCCATGCAGGTGAACAACACTCCGTATCGTTTCATCTCTTTATGCCCTTCTCTTATATAAAATGGACCAAAATAATCGACGGCGCTGAAGGTGAATGGAGGGACTTGTTCGAGTCTGTCTGTGGGAAGTTCAGCCATCATCTGCTGCTGGGGCGCTGCTCTCAGCTTCCGACAAGTAACACATTTAGATATGTGTTGACCAACCAATGAAGTGCCGTTTACGATCCAGAAGCCAGATGAGCGGATTTCGGCATGCGTTCTTGGTCTTCCTTGATGTCCCGAACGTTGATGGAAGTGTCAGATTATCAGGTTTGTAAGGTGCACCTTCTTCGGAAGCAAGACAGGATGCTTTACAGCATATGATAGGTCGGCTTGAGGAAGTCGTCCTCCAACTCTTAGAACACCGTTGTCATCTAGGACTGGTTTGAGGCGATGTACAGGGCTTGTCCTCTTTACTGACTTAGCGTTTATTTCACCTTTGTGTGACTTGTTCGCTAAGGCTTCGATTTCTCTTGGGAACTCCTTGTACTGTATAGCTTTGATCAGCAACAGCTCGGCTCTCTGGAGATCCTTTACCCTTGGCGTAACAAACTTGGAGGACTGATCTTGCCGTTTTCGTTTGTTGTCTTCGTGCAGTGGGTTGCCTTTGTCACTGACGGAGTTGTCTCGATCTTTCTTTACGTGAAGTTTCATTCTGTGTATGAACAACAGGCAGACAGCAATTGCTCTTTTCGCGCGGTACCAGTCTGAGAAGTACTCAATGCGGTCCAATAGGGTTGGGTGTTCAATGGATTTAGTTGCCAGTACTGTAACCTTCCTAACCTCGGGGTCATCTGGAGATACTTGAGGATCAAAGTGGGGCTTATCTGGCAGTGGTCTCCACAGGAAGTTCGGTCCGTTCCACCATTTGTTGCTTGTTATCAGTTCTTTAGCTCCAAGACCTCGTGAGGCGTCGTCGGCTGGGTTCTCTTTGGTATCAACGTAGTGCCACTGATCAGGGGATGCATGATCTCGCATTGCTTGCACTCGGTTAGCGACAAATGTATGAAAGCGCCTTGCTTCATTTGAAATGTAGCCGAGGATAACTTTACTGTCGGTCCAGAAGAACTCGTGGATGTCTTCATAGCTTAGTTCTTTCAGTAGGAAGGAGCTGATTTTCGTGGACACCACGGCAGCGGTGAGCTCCAGTCGGGGCACGGTGACTGGCTTTAACGGGTAACTGTCGATTTTGCCATTACCAACGAACAATGCACTTCATCCCGATTGTTGACCATCCTTAGATATGAACACTGTCCATAGCCATTTATGCTCGCATCAGAGAAACTGTGTAACTCGACTAACTTGACTTCACCAAAGTTGTCTGGTTTGTAGCAACGACGGATCTTTAACTCAGCTAATTCGTGCAACTCTCCTCTCCATTTTTCCCATTTTGCTCGAATGTCATCAGGCACCGTCTCGTCCCAAGCAGCTTGAGTCTTACAAAGATCTTGAAGGATCTGTTTTCCTTTAAGCAGAAAGGGAGCTGCCAGGCCCAGAGGGTCGTAGATCGAACTGATGGAGGCAAGAATCCCTCTTCTAGTCAATGGTTTGTCCTTGAGTACCACGCGGAATTGGAGGGCATCTGACTGCACACACCACTGCACTCCTAAGGCTCCTTCAATAGGGAGAATATCCCTGCTGAAATCTAGCTCCTTGATACCGCTTGCTCGTTGCTCTTTGGGAATGGTTTCAATCACTTCCTTGCTGTTAGATATGAACTTGTGGAGGTTGAAGCCTCCTTTGGCAAGCAAACTCTTTGTATTCCTTATTAGGGCTGAGGCTTGAATGGCTGTTGAAACTGATTTCAGTCCGTCATCCACGTAGAAATCATCTTTGACAAATTTGGCTGGCTCGCTTCCAAACAACTCCTCAAAGTCGTCTGCAGTTCTTTTCAGTGTGAAATTCGCACACCCTGGGGATGACGTAGCGCCAAACAGATGAACTGTCATTCTGAACTCGGTCGGTTTGCTGTCTATATTTCCATCATTCCACCAGAGAAATCTGAGGAGATTTCGATAGTCGGGATTGACGTACACTTGATGAAACATTCCTTCTACGTCACAGGTGAAAGCGATGGGTTCTTTACGAAAGCGGCAGAGGACTCCGTTAAGACTGTTGGTCAGATCAGGACCCTGTAAAAGGTGTCTGTTAAGCGACTCTCCCTTGTACTCTGCACTGGCGTCGAAGACGACTCGGATCTTGTCTGGTTTCTGGGGGTGGTAGACACCGTGATGCGGTATGTACCAAACGCGACCGTTAGAGAGGTGTAGTTCCTCGTCGGGAACTCTCTCAGCCTGTCCCTTATCAATCATCTCCTTCATGAAGGCTTCGTAGTGTTCTCGATACTTTCTGTCTCTCTTCAGCCTTTGTTTGAGCCTTCCGAGGCGACTTAACGCCAGTGTGAGATTGTTGGGTAACTTTAACCCTTCTTCTTTCAGTGGCAAGGGAACTTCGTAGTGGCCATCGTCTCGGTGTCGGATGTTAGACTCCAAGACGTTAAGGAATTTTCTATCCAGGAACGATACAGGTTGTTCTTCTCTTGACGTTTCATTGAAATTACGCTCCAATGTTTTGATCAATTGCGCAGGTGTGAATACTTCCTTTGCCTGAGTCTTGAGAGCGAAATGACACATTCTTTTTCCATTGCTGGGACGAACTTCTAGGGACGCGATGCGGTGACAAGAACAGTGGTTGTCATCTTCTTCAATCTTGGTTGGATTAACGACACCGATGACACCCCATCCTAGTGCAGTCTTCTTTGCGTAGGGATCATCTTGCCTTCCAGGTATCACCTCTGTCGGTTTGATGGCACGTGCACAGTTGGCTCCTATGAGCAGTCCAACTTCAACATCTTCTCTATAAGGCATTAGATGATTTGCAATGGGTAAGAGGTGGGGCCAATTTCGTGCTGTTTCTGGTCTAGGGATTTGGCCTCTCTTGGCTGGAATGCGAGTAAGCTCCTGGCAGGTTAATGCCACTGGCTTCATTGAGGCCTTGTACTGTTAAGCCATCTATTTTTTTGCAAGAAATGACCTTTTCTGCCAGGACGGTTGACAGGTTAAGCTGGACTTCAGGACCATTTGCTTGCAGTTTCTCCAAAACCGTGTCCTTAATAAAACAAGCATCCGACTGATCGTCCAGGAGCGCATAAACGAGCTGTTTGTCTTGGGGACTTTGTTCATGATAAAGCCACACAGGTACGATGAGGGAGTGTGCATAGCATTCGGCGTGGTTCTTCGTATTGGAGACGTCTACGCGGTGAGAGGTCACCTCTGGAATTCCCTCGCTTATGGTTTGCTCTGGTGAAACTGGAGTGTTGATGTGCAAGGAAGTAGGGTGAAAACCCTTGCATTTCTTGCAAATCTTTCGCCCACGGCAATCTCTCTTCATGTGACCATACTTTAAGCACCCTAAGCAGATCCCTCTTGATCTTATAAATTCTATCTTTTCTGACTGAGACATCTTGGCGAACTTCTCGCATTCGTCAAGGTTGTGAGCCTTCTTGCACAGCAGGCAGTGATCCCTTTTTGGCTTCTTATCTTCCTTTCGTTCATGAGAACTGTCCTTCACTTCTTCAGCTTCTGTTGCAAAGCTTCCAGCGTCAAACGGTTTATTCCTGTTGTTGCCATTAAACCTTCCTCTTCTTTGCGTCTCGTCTTTCTTTTCTCCTTTCTCCTTCGTCTTTAATAAGGTAACTGGGTTACAGGCAATTCTGGATTCCTTCAAGAACTCGCAAAAGGCTGAAAAGGGTGGGTATGCTGCTGAACATGTGGACCTTACACTCACACCACTAGAAACTTGCTCTTCCTTGTTGAGCCAGCGATCTATTTCTCGAGTCCAGCGTTCAGCCAGGTTTCGTGGGAGTTTGCGAAACATTTTCTGATTTCCCTCGGGATCGTTAAGAGCGTTCAGGTACTTAATTTCCTTCATGGCCGACTGACAGTGGAGTAGAAAGTCAGAGAACTTTCTCAGACTTGTTCCATCGTTGGGTTGAATTCTTGGCCATTCGTTTATCTTCTTGCGGTAAGCGTTGGCTACAAGAAAGGGATTTCCAAATCTATCTGACAAGATCTTTCTGGCATCACGGTAAGCGTGTTTGCTGTCCAGGGCAAGAAGGCCACTAATTGCTTCCTTGGCTTCGCCGGTTGTGTATCTTCCAAGATAATAGAGGCGTTGCGATGGACTGTCGGTTCTTCTCTCCACTATTGTATCGAAGGATTTCTTCCAGGTGGGATAGCGCAGGAGGTTTCCGCTGAATCTCTCTGGTTCGGGAAGTGGTAGTAGTTCACGGGCGTGGCGCATGGTCATCAGATCTGCCAGCCGTTCGAGGACGTCGCTGCTTGTATGTTTCTGAGAAATTTCTTCTTGATCCTTAGCGAAGGTTGTGCGGTTAGGTGTTGAGAAGGCTGCTAATCAGGTGTAAACGGATTTAGCGATGACGGATATTGCACGGCAGTTTTACCAACGTCTTCGGGGTTTTCGATTTGTTTATCTGGATACGAAGGAGCCATCTCGGACATCTCAAACACGGGTTTTGGCAGAAGGATCTTGGTTTTACAACTTAGGTTTGTCTCCATGGTTGAAATGCTGTTTTCCGTCATCGACGAGGCTTGAGCTGTCAGGTAATTTAGGAGAAGGTCGTCTTTACAGCTGTCTTTATTTATGTCATCGGGCAGCATGTTTTCGCTTTGTTCACTAGATTCAGACTTGTTTTCTTCTACCTGATCAATGGCCTTCATCTCGGCTTCGGCTATGGCCAGTTCCTTGGTTAGTCTGAATTTCTTCAGTTCCGCAATTTTTGCCGCTTCGTCTTCAGCGAAATGTAACTCGGTTTTTAATTTAGTGACCTTTACTACTGTGTCCGCCTTTCTATCGATTATGGCTGATGTACGGGATGCTCTACTTGAACGTGATTTCCCGCCATGTGAAACTTTACTACTTCGACTTGATGAGGCCGTTACCGAAGAAATCAAGCTTTCTCCATCTTCTTTTAGCTCGGTAATTTTTTGATTTAATCGTTTCAGCGCATCAGAATGTTCTTGTTCTAACTTCTCAAATTTCTGTTGCGCAATGCGTTTCGTTTCTACGTCCTCCAGTGCTTCAACGAGTCGTTCGTGTGCAGAAATCAATAATTCCATCTTGGATTCCAAAAATATTCGTTCGCTCTGTAACCTATCTGGTTCTGTTAGGTCGACAAGGCAGTTTTCTATTCTATTCAATTGTTTTCGCCAACTCCTTTGCGCGGACGACCTTTGATCTTCTAGTAGTTGTGTCTGGAACTGTTTGCCTTTTGCCGTCTGTTTTCGATTTCGTTTAGAAGCTGCGCTTACACTGCCAAAATCGTCTTCTGAACTCATTTTCTCTCGATGAGGTGCAACAGAATACAATTTCAGTCGC